TCGCCGAATCACTGTTTCTCTCTCCCAACCGAAGAAAGCGAAGTTATTAAACCTATAAAATATGCAATGGACATTATCGCTTCATGTCCAGGGTACATATACATGTCAACTTCGCAATGTCATGTGGTACTTTCCCTAAATAAATGCAAACCGCAAAAGTTATGACTTTGTTCAAAGCAGGGAACAAAAATTAATTAGAAAAATACCGTCCTATATCTATATACTTCCTGTATTTTCAAAAATTTTGAAAAAAAAATCATTATTTTATTGTAATATTTTGTAATAAACATTGCCTAATTACAAAATGTAAATTTGGATCCCGGAAAAATATGTCAACAGACACAGCGTTATTGGTTCAAAAAAAAAAAAAAAAGGAGATACTTAGAAACTTCAATGAAAAAACTTTGATGCTTGGAGTATTTTTAGATTTCAGTAAAGCATTTGATAGCATCAACCATTCCTTTTGGTTAAATAAATTATTCCCTTATGGCATTCGCGACATTCCACTAGCGCTAATTATATCATATTTACAATTTCGCTCTCAATTTGGAAAAATAAATGATCAGATATCAATTCCTTTCAACATATTGCCGCGCGCAAGGCTGAGAAAGCAACGCTCGGTCACGGTCCTCCAGAAAGTTCCCGTTTATTCATGTACCGCACGTAACTTCTATCATTTATCCCTGCTTTTGTTTTCTAGAAAGTGCGTGTTCATTCTCGCCCCGATCACGCTACGCTCGAACCGCTTTCGCCGAATCTTCGAGGTAGCGGAGCACTCTAGATAAGAGGCCGCCCGCGACCTTGTCGAGTCAGTCTCGCCCCAGCGCTCGATTCTGCTGACACGCCGACTTCGACGCCCGCGACGCTCTGCTTTCTTCTGTTTCCTTCTTTATTTTTTTGGCACAAGTTCGCCACATTAAACGTTTATTTCTTTCTGTTTATTTCCTGTTTTTTTGTTTGGTCACCACCCGTGACAATATCACCTAGAGTCCCGCAACGAAGTATGCTGGAGCCACTTCTTTTGTATTATATATTAACGATATATTGGATGACTCAACCATATTCTTTTCAGACGATTCCGAAGACCTTACAAATAAAGTCAATGCGTTTCTTTTAAAGTTAAAAGCTTGGGCTGAAGTAAATTGTTTAAAAATTAATGTATCGAAAACAAAAGCAATAATGTTCCACCCCCGTGGTTCGGTGATAGTCTCTACAGCCCCTTATGGGTCATTCAACATTGAATTTGCAAAAGTATTAACACTCTCGGAGTTATTTTTTCTGATAATATGCTTTCAAATAATCACGTTAAATACCTTTGCTTTAAGCCAGTCAGGTACGTAGGAATAATTACTCAGCAGACATGTCCTTCCAACAAGCGTAAAGAAGGTTTTATACGTAATTCGTTATTTTTTCTCGTGTTTATCGTTTAACAATTGCTTATAAGTATGCGGCATATGGATCCTTTGGTATAATTCTTGAATAATTTTATTTAAAATTAAAAACGAAATATTATTTGTTTAGACGTCACCAGCCTTGGCATTTTCTGAAGTGCCAAACAAACCATGGAAAACGGGAAATAAGTTATACTTTACATTTCATGTTGAATGGTTATTTTGATAAAAATATATATGTCACGCGAATGTCTAAGAACTGTATCTTTAAACTTTTAATTTAATACGCATGAATAGGTGCACAGATTTTACTGAACGCGTTTTGTTGTGTTTGTGTACTTTGTCAAAGCTGCTGCCCGGAGCTCCGACAAGCTCCATTTCTGCAGCTTTTTTTCCTGCCTCCCATTCACCACATGCATCTGTTTGTATCGTAACTACACACACATCACAGCGCACGCACCGTTACTATGGAAACCCAGAGCGAAGAACAACCGGCGACGGTAGAGCGGCAACTGAGCACGCCCGCAAACCACCGCGCCGCGGCGCCTCCTCCTCTCTGGCTCCGCGCCAAATGTGCGCCGCTCCTTTGACAAAAACCTGGCGCTGACAAACGAAACACGCCACCGGGTTTTCGTCAAAACGAACGCTCTAACACTAACGCATAAAAATGATATGTTCCCCATACTTCGCGCGTGTATCACTGGTTCACATATAAACTCCTCCCATCACCCCCTCCCCCCTAAAGACCCTCTATTCTGGGAAAAGTGACGCCATTCATTGTTGTGGAAATGCTCGAGACACATGCCGCGCGCCAATTCTGGGAGGAACATAGCGTCTGAAATCTAGCTCAGTGCTGCGTTGTGCTGCCATCATCTTCCCAGGGGCTGCACGTGCCTCGTGCATCGACGCACCTTGCGCTACTTCTAAAACATGCAAGGGGCTTTACTTCCACTGTCCCGTTTATGCCGCTTCGCGGCGACAGTCTGCGGCGGCTGTCTTTGCGTTTGTCTTGCATTGCAAGTAGTACGAGTAGCGTCAAATACGCCAGCGCACGTTTCCACAACAATGGTTGACGGTACTTGGATGAGTGAATTTTATCAAGGGACCTCAAACAATTATTCTAGGTGAGCCGAAATTGGGATTTCAGAAAACAATGTAAGAGCTGTAAACCGGACACTACAAATCCCTACAACACTACTCGTAAGGCGATATTTTGAATCGAAGGCCGTATTTTTGGGAAAAAAAGGTCGAGATTGAACGAGGCCGACGAGGCGCGTGACGTCAAGATATCTCGTTTCCTCCTCTACTCGTTTCGCCCCCTCAAGGCGGCGAGGCGGAGAAGACGCAAGGCCGTTCTTTCCCCTTCTCGACTCTCATGACGTGAACATATCTGTCAAATGCGCATCCTTTTTTTTGAAAAGTACGGTAATCCGTTCGATATATCGTTGTGTGAGTTATGTTTTGATGTTTGCAGCATCCCGTTGCACGCTTTTGCCGCCGTGTTTTTGTGGAATCCAGCATTGCGGTTCAGCATCCCTTTAACCTGGCCCGCCCGTGCACGCCGCTTTGCGACGGCCGGATTCGCTAAAAGGAGGCTCATCGCCATTTTCTATAAACTCAGCTTCTCTATGAGGCGATTCGATAAACTGCAGGCTCTGTAAAACGGCGTTTAAACGAGTTTCTCTAGACCGCATGCCTCGGGTTTACTACAGTTGATCGAATGCCAATTCATCGAAGCACGTTTTAGAGAACGGGCTCGTTTTATCGAAGTACGGTTTAGAGAAAGAAGAGACTCAGTTTAGAGAAACACCGTTTATCGAAAAGGGAACAATATTTAAAAAAGGCTTTCCTACTTCTCGCGTGTATCACTGGTGCGCGTGTTAACCCAAGCCCCCCGCTGCGCTCCCGCCGCTTCGCGGCGGCAATCTGCGGCGGCTCATTACAAAAATATTAACTCACCAAACTTATCCGCACACGCCGCTTCGCGGCGACCGAATTCGCTAAAAGGAGGCTCATCGCCATTTTCTCTAAACTTGGTTTCTCTATAAAGGCATTCGATGAACTGGGGTCGGTAAAACGGCGTTCGCTAAAACGAGCTTCTCTAAACCGCATGACTCCGCATGCCTCCGGATCGTGACGCCACCTATAATAATCAAAGCCCGCCTCCTACGTCATCACTCTTGGATGGCAGCAACTTGGCCGCAGCCCGACGCTGAGTGTCGATTAGACACGAGGTCCAGCCGAATACTGACGCAGCGCTCGTGTCCAACCTGTGTCTGCGATCGATCTCACTGTGATGACGTTGAAATTCTGGTACGCGAGCTTTGATTATTCCAGGTGGTGTCGGATTTGCCGACCCAAAATCGTATTCTACGCTTGACAATTTCGTCAGAATACATAAACAGATATTTTACAACGTCTTCAGCAACCGAGCAGCATCTGCGGATCTGGTCGGCAAGAAAGCAAATGAAAAATGAAGAAAAACTCACCCACTTTTTTGTGAGTCCAGAGGAAAGCTTTCCGGTCTTTTGACGAACCCGGAGACAAGCTCACACGTGACAGCTTGGCGTGAATTGTTATGCCAGGTTGTTGTTATCATTTGAGAGCAGTAGTTAATTTAGTGAAACTCGGAAATGAAGTAGTGAAAATCGAGAATTAAATAAACGCTCTAATAACACTTTAGGGGAAAGGAAATTACTACTTGTGGGTGATTTTGAGTCTTGCATATCTCCAGCTGGTTTACTACGGTTGATCGAACGCCATTTTATCGAAAGACGTTTTAGAGAACGAGCACGTTTTATCGAAGCTCGCTTTACAGAAAGCAGAGTTTCTGTTTAGATAAACGCGGTTTATTGAAAAGGAGGGCGAAGGTAAGCCCTTGCCCCTCTTTCTCTACACCCGGTACACCAGGTGAGACGCAAACAAGTTTTGCGCCGCCCAATCCAGAGTTTTGTTTTTACAAAAATGAATTCGCTAAAAGTGAGTTTCCGTAAAACGGATGCCTCTGAAGCAAAAGCCGAATGGGTAGACTCTTGCTTTGGGAGCACATTGGACAACACCGAATCAAGGGGAACATCAGGGAACATGACATGGGATGGTCGGAATCTGAAGAGTTTTTAGCTATTTTTGCGAACTAGAAGAGTCGACAGAAAGCAGCAGAAGTGAAAATGTGGGAATATGCGTTGGAATATGCCTTGGTCAATAGATTACTCAATATGAATATCACTCGAGAATTAAAGTGTATGAAGTAAAGCTAAGAAGAACTAATCGGGGCTTATTTTTTGCTGGGAACGATTTGGCATTTTCCTTAAATTCGCTTGACCACACTAACAAAAATACGGTGGTTTTAAATACAAAAGAGGTGGCGCAATACGCCGCCTAATTTGAAAGGTTTAGAAAGTTTAGCCGTATTGCCCTTCCTTATTAATCATTCAACTGCTTTAATTTGTTTAAAACTTAATCTTATTTTTTGTAACATAAAATAAAATAATTATTTACTGCTTTATAAAACTACATAATTATTTTAAAACTAAAACTTTTCGGTTGTAAATATCACGTGATATATTTCTTTTAATAAAGGTTACCCTTATGCACTTTCAAGCATCTATCACGAACAAAGCGAACGCGTTCTAAATCGAGTTGGGCAGCCATGTTGTTTTGTCAAAGCGGGATTCGCTAGGACCGTGCTTAATTAACACGTTTTTCTGTTTTTAATGTGAAGTTTTTAGGTATCTCCCAAGCCAGCAGTTTGACTGTATGCAAGATGGACCGAGTCGCCGTTTTGTATAAAAACTACGACGTTTTAGCCAACGCGAACGAAAAAATTGCAGAGGTAAGACCGCGCTTTTTGGGCTCGATCTAGCGTCTATCATTCACCTAGGCCTAGGCCGGCATCTGAAGGCGCCGGTCTATGCATTGCTGCTTACATGCGTTTAAAGAAGTGTAGAGTTAAAGACGCCACAAGTACGCAGAGAGCGTGCTTTAATCGTCCCCCAAACGGGGTGCCGTACATTCGTCCATCGTTCGGCTGTTTTTAGCATTCCTACCATGCCCCCAATTCGATCAAATCAATGTGCGGTGTCCGGGCGTGTATTCAACTTCTGCTGCTGTATCAATTCGCGTCTTTCTTCCCGACGCCAGCATGAAAAAGAGTATCTCGAGATCCTGGATTCCGTCAAAGGAACGCCCAGCGAAAAGCGGCTGGCATCGCAGTTCATCGCCCGGTTTTTCAAGAGTTTCCCGCACCTTGCCGAGAAAGCCATTGATGCCCAGTTGGACCTCTGTGAAGATGCAGACGTTGCGGTGAGCAGACGTTTTTTTTCTCCTTAGTAATGGCCCTAGCCTACGTGTTGAGTGCCTAGTTCTGGGTGGAATCCCGGCTGAGACGGCTTAAGCAGTAATTAGCTCGAATCCTTTCATCCACAGATAAGAAAACAAGCAATCAAAGACCTGCCGAGCTTCTGCAAAGATAGCAAGGAGTATGTGGCGAAGATTGCTGATGTGCTCGCGCAGCTGCTCCTGACGGAGGATAACACTGAGCTCCTTGTGATTCACCATTCCCTTGTCACCCTCGTGAAGCTGGACACAAAAGGTTAGTTGCAGTTGAGGGGGTCGCTGAGCAGTTTTGAACTTTGAGTCGTTCGAAGGGTTGTATGCTATAGTCGGTGATGGGTTAAGGTTTCAGGGGAAGCTCGTCCCACCTCTTCTCGCTTTCGCAGAGCAAATGCTGGAGAGCAGGTCACCCCCTCTCCAGCGTTTGCTCTGCGAAAGCGAGAAGAGGTGGAAGGAGGTTCCCCTGAACCCTTAACCTGTCACCAACTATAGAAGTTCGGCATTGGAGGGGTTTGGGCTTTCTGTCAATAATTGAGACGGGAACTAGTCATCTTTTGCCTGATGGGCATTTCAAGCAAGGAAAGAATAACAGAGTGATGTGATTGCTGCGCCAATTGCGCCAAACTGCGCCAAGGGGCTCACCCTGCTACATCCTGCTACATTTTGCAAAATATGGGTAATCTGCACCAAGCCTGCGCCAAAGGATAAATTTTGGTCGCCTTTGAAAACCGAAGCTGAACTGAGTACCGTAATTGAGCACACATGAGCTAGGTGGTGCAAGCAGCCGTCCGACACAAAGTACCCTGCATCAATCGTTCATCCGGCCTTACATGGTCTTTCCCGCCGTCTCTCGTCTCGCATCTTTTTGAAAAAAAAAATTCAATGATAGACGTGGGCGTGTGCGGACGCTCCGACGCTAGCGTGCTGGGTACCAGCCATGCTGTCATGCTGTGAAACGAAACCATGTTTTTGCGCGGCGGGGGGGTTACTTCATGGGCTGAAGCACTCGTTCCTGAAAGCAACGGCCGTAGACAAACTATATTTGGTCCCTGCCTGCCAGTCACCATGGTCGCGCGACGTCGGATGTTGCCGTTTCCACGTTACTGCAGTTATGGCACTTTCTAAACTGAAACGTAAGGACTGCCGCATGTTCATCAATAATCTTGTTCTTGTTTAATACACTACTACAAACATCCCTTTAGCTCAAAGACTGTTGTGTCGAAGTATTGATTACCTAGGTTTCTCTCGGTATTTCTTTAGAGATGTACCCTGGTACGTGAAACAAATCAGCCGCGAAAGAAAGTTAGTGAAGAGAAGTGAGCTAAAGCAAAGAAGGCAATGTCCGCATGCTGAACCCGCACAGCGTGCTTATTTGTCTCCAATTCAGTCGTTGCACAAAGCGCTCCAAGAATTTTTTGACCTTGGCTCGCAATGTCTTGCATCGATGCGCTCAGGTTTTTTTTTTCTTCTTTTTTTTTCTGTGTTTAGTTTGTACCTCGCCTGCTGGCCTGGCAGGCCTGTGCCGCTGGACTGTTTTTTTTGTTGTTTTTGTCGTATGTTGGACAGTTATATTTTGCATACAATTTTGGGAATTGGTTGGAGACGGAGCGGAGTGGCGTGGTTTCGATCGAACAGGCCATCTCCTCTCGCGCGACAATTTCGCATTGCACGGCAGTAGTTACGTGTTTCATCAGTTGGAGACTGCTTCCATTTATTATATTACTAGTCAACCAAATGATGTGATATTTACTACTAAACTGGTCATTTTCAAATAAATTTTAATATGTACAGCTTGGTCCGATATATTTGTATTATTTAACTGAAGCATTGCAAAATGTGTCAAGTCATTGGCATTTCAGTTACATGTTGAAAGACTCCCAGGTGGTCTATCTTGACAATAATTGGTTGATTGCGGCGAGCAATATGTCATTCGTTTGTCCACCACTTGAAATGAATATCTTTTTTTTTTTTTTTTCTTCTAAGAATATCTGCTCCAAAAGCCACTTTCGCTGCTCCAAACCACTGTTTTAGCTGCTCCGAAATCCAGTTTTGCTGCTCCAAAACTTTGTTTTGGCTGCTCCAGAACGTGCTCCAAAACGGCTTAGGCCAATCACATCACTGATAGCACTCCTAGCAGCCTACACGCTTCAGCAGACATTTTCGTGATGTCGCAGCATTCTATGAATGTCCTGTGGATGTTTACAGGACATTCGTGCCAGCCGAGCGGGATTCAAAAGACCTGGCTGCACCCACGTAATATTTTCAAATAGCTTGACATTGCTACACTCGGCGACAACTTTTCTTGGCAATGCAGTGGAGGGTACAGGCACGCGTTCCCTCTCCCATTTCGAGTGCTTAATAAAGCTGTGCATGGGCTCTCCTCCTCTCCACTGCTTGCCAAGAAAAGTTGTTGCCGAGTGTTGACCCATTTGAAGAGAGCCAACGCTTACCTCTGAAACTGGTGAATTTATTCTTTTAAAATAATTATTTTTGAAGAGGAAATGCCAATCATGTCACTTAGTCACAGTCATAACACCATGTGTTTGGCAGGTACCCTGGGAGGCGTGTTCTCCCAAATCGTGGCTGGCGAAGACCTGGTGCGAGAGCGTGCCATAAAATTCCTGTGTGCCAAGCTGCCCCTCTTGAGTGCCGAGGTGCTCACCAAGGAGCTTGAGGAGTACCTCTTCCAAGAGTGCTGCAAGGTAAGCACATGCTCTTCAACCGAACATGGGCAACATAATGCGCGACTAGGGGTGTACGAATAGTGACTAACATTGTCCCGTCATTCACAGCCTTCACTGTGCAAAGTAGAGCCACAGGGTACTGGCTTTCTTTGCAGTTTCACACTGTGCTATGTGATTCGAACATCGTGATTAGTGATGGCTGACTCGCTCGCAAGAGAGAAAATGCGTCCTTCTTCGGAATGGTGCTTAGTTTGAAGGTGAATAGACTACTTTCATAAAGCCCTGCATGCAACACAGTGCGTGTTGCACTCTGGGAACTAGTTGTGCTTAGTTTGAAGGTGAATAGACTACTTCCATAAAGCCCTGCATGCAACACAGCACGCGTTGCACTCTGGGAACTAGTTGACCAGGGAGGAGGCATGGTTTCGGTTTTGATGGACACGTCAACAGAAGGTCACACACAGAGCTTGGACTATTAACGGCCGTTATCTCATGCTTTCTGGTCCCGAGAGCGTCATTTGTATAAACTAACCTAGATGGCCAGACCTCGAAGCTTTAGCACAAGCCCGAGACATAAAGCTTGTCTTAACGCATGCTAGTTGTATTTTTGTACTTGAGCCTTTCTGTTAGCGTCTCGAGGTATGGTGGACGAGCCAGTACTGGGAATTTCGACGCTGCGAAGCTCAGGGATCTTGCTTGTGTGCGAGTCGGCAAGCTGTAGCAACCAATAAGTATGCATACATCGAGCTCGAGCCTTTACATTAGTATTGTTGATCAGGAAGTTTGTTTCATGCATCCATAGACGAAATACAACTTTTTGCGATTACTGTTTTTCTTAATACGCCTGAAGGGGTGTCCAAACAGGACACTACAAAACTCACGACTCCGGCAAATCGTGCCGCGCTCTGCCGCGATCCGCTTCCGGCCGTCGGAGGGACATTTCCCTCCGTCAATTCTTCCCGGGGGGAAACTTCCCTCCGTCAAATCTCCCTCTCGCTTCCTCCACGGCGGCCTTGCTCTGCTCACTCGCACGCTCTGTTGGCTGTCGGTCAATCGCTCAAGGCCTCCGCTCTCAATACGGAACCGCATCGGACGCCATCACGACGAAAGTGAATCTCGACAAAGAAAGCAGATCCGAGGCGGCCGAAACGCACCATTCGACGCAGGAATGTCCCAGATCCACCCGAAGCCGGACCTCCTTGGCCTTCGAGCCGAGGCGACGGCGGTACGCGAGGGTGTTGGCGAGGTAAGCCAGGCGCAGGTGGCGTGTGACGTCAATCTGAAGAGGAGATCAGTCGTGATCGTAAAATTTTTCACGACTCCTGCAAACATTTTCACGACTCCGACTGACCGTAAAAATAGAAGCGTCCGCTTCAATTTTCACGATTTGCCGGAGTCGTGAGTTTTGTAGTGTCCTGTTTGGACACCCCTTGAGTGTGCGAGGTAAAACTCGGAGGCGCCATTGAAAAGCTCCATTTGAACACACTTCTCATCTCTTACCTGTACTGCCCCGCAGCACTGCACGAAGTGAAGTTTTCACCCGCTTGCATTCCACTAATATTCAACATCGCGTATGCGCATAAAGTTATCCTGCAATCATATAGGCCCATTCGCACATACAAACCGTTTTAAGAAAGCAAAAGTTGAACACTTGTGTGAAAAATGTTGCACCGTTCACCGGAAGTACACCGGACGGGCATGAACCCCTATGTGGTGCGCCAAACGAACAAAGTTATTCAAAGCGCATTTGACAATTCCTAATGGCTATAATATTTGTTATGTGTTTGCTTTCTTCCTGACTGAGCATGCCGAGATAATTTCAGACACCTCGTTCAGGCACAGATCTTGGGCGTCAGGAAAAGCTCGTCCAAAACGGCTTACCGAGGAGTAGGGGACGCTTGTTAGGGCCTCCCTCATAGCAAGCCGATCTCAGTGTTTGCGAAAACTTTATCTTCCATCAGCATAAAATTTGAGTGTGAGATATGTGATGACACGAGAAAGACATCATAGTAACTTTTGTGCAGTAGTGAGGTTGAATTTATTGCTTAACTTTGAAAATCCTGTGAAGATGCGGCTTGCTTTTCGCCCAATGAAGTAACAAGAAGCGGACGTTTGGCAAATCAAATATGTGTAGGGCTCAAGGTAACCAAATTTCAGTTGTAGTTCTCTGGTACTGGACGGGATTAGTGACATTGAGCTCAAAGATGCACTCGTGGGGTGAGGTGACTAAGCCACGTCTTACTACGTTTGCATACGCTTGCACAATATCCGGTGTTTCAGGAACCAAGGAAAGTGCCCCGGTCTTCGTCTTGTATCGCTCGAGAAGGAGTGTATTGTACATTCGTAAAAAGTCAGATAATCGAAAACGCAATCAGCGCTTCGGTCGCGGCGTGGTAGCATGAGATGAACCTGCTCACTCGAAACCGAAACTGAGTGGCCAACTATCGCGGTGTCATGAGATGAACCTGCTCACTCGAAACCGAAACTGAGTGGCACTGCGTGGTATTTCGCCGCGATGGGGCGCGTCAGTTTTGGAAGAACTCAATTCGATTAACATACCCTGTAAGGAGTTATACTTACAAGTATGAAAAGAAAAGTTGAGGTATGTGACATTACGGGCATGTGTTTGAGCAGCCAGTGAAGAAGCCAAGCGACTGACCAGTTCGAACTGTATTCCTATTACGGGGCATGTTCACCATTTTACTTGGTCTCTAAAAACAAATAATATATATGCAGATGGATGAACCATACTGATAGGATGGAATAATTGTTACGAAGCTGCCAAAAGACAAAATCCTTGGCGGCGGCAGGATTTGAACTCTGGGTCTCCCAATAGACCATTTGCGATATCCCCCAAGTGCCCCGGCCTGCTCTAAAAGAATGATGGGAACGGTGTTTCTTCAGCCCCTTGGTGATCGGTAATTTCAACCCTATTCTTGGTTACACAAGTTTTGAGCGTAATTCGGAGTTACCTTGAACAAGCACCTGTTATACCCCAATGACCCGACATATCGCTTTTAAAATTTCTCCTCAATGTCAGCGTTTAAATCCTGGTTTTCGTTGTGAATAATCGGCTTTTTAAGCAATTCCTGCTCAAACAACAATCACGAGAATGATAATATTCTAAGAGATTTCTGCAGCTCAGCCAGGTTTAAAGGTGGACCGCATGCGCAGTACAAAAAATGCTGACGTTGACGAGCAAATTTAAAAGTAATATGACAGGTCCTTGGGGTATATCGGGTGCTTGTTTAGGGTGGCCTCGAATTATGCTCAGAGGCTGTGTAACCATGGAGTTGGTCGAAAATTAGCGATCACTAGGGAGCTGAAGGAACACCGTTCCCATGATTCCTTGAGTGTGGGCCGGGGCGCTTGGGAATACAGCAAATGGTCTATTGCTGGTTGGGTGTGCTAACCCACTTCACCATGCCACCTTGTCTTTTTGGCGTTAAATATCTTCGGTTCCTGCTCAGCATGTGTCATGAGAGGCGCATATCGCCAGAGAAGACAGAATGTGGAAATTGAATGCAGTGCGCCTTTTTCTTAATAAGAAATTGTGTGCTGGTAATTGATTGTTCACTATTTGCTTAAGCTGTGGCACGAGAATCTACCAAGTCTGACTCTTCACAGAGCTTCTTTTAGTTGGCGGATGATGCTTCGCTGCAACAACCAGGGTCATTTCTATCAAGTATCTCTCATCCTGAGCTGTAGTGCATTTCTGACGTTCCAAAGGTCCGCGGTAGTTTGGGAACGATGTTGGAGGACTCGTTTGGTCTGCAAGCATTTTTTGAGAGAGCCGTTGGGACCCGTAGAAAGTGTTCTTGAGCCAAATCCTTGCCAACAGGTGATGCAAGATGTGACCGGTCAGGAGTTCAGCAGCCTCATGACTCTGCTCTCTGGGCTGAGGCTGGCCAAGACCATTCCGGGCCAGCAGGCCCTAGTGGACCTGGCAGCAGAACAGGCCGACCTTGGCAAAAAGGCGACACCAGGAGCCACTACCCAGGACCCCAGCACTCAGGCAGAAACGCTCGCCAAGCTGGTGCAGTGCATCCGTCAGGCATTGCCATTCTTTTCGGTAAGTCCGCATTCGTCTTGCAGTTGCCGTCCACTTCATTAGGTATGTGCACAGCTAGCATTCGTCTGGTGGCACCTTCGGACTGCCTCATAAATGTTAGGGATGGCACATTCCAGAGGGAACTAGGATTACGACTGGACAAAACGTGGAGGGGCAGAGCACATGTCCGTGCGACGGCAGCTTCCAGACGTATTTGTCGTAAGCTGTTAGCGCCGAAGGAACATACTTGTCTGTTTATGTCTTTCTGCGTTTCGTCTTTTCATAACCATAATTCCGCGTGGCAGTCCCGGAATGTTTGCGGATGTTTCGAGGGCTGTCTCTTTGTTGGAGCTGCCATTCGTGACGATTCCCACCTGGGACATCAGGACCAAAATTATCAGTCGTAAATGGCAAGTTTGACGACATGTGTACAGAGCAAGGTGGAAGTTTGGGGTTACTGCATCGTTATGCCAACACAGTCAGAGTTAAGTCTGGCATTTCTCTTTTTTCTGCAAATCAAACCAGAATGGTTCCTACTAAAATTGTCTTTAGCGAGCATTTGACCAATCACGGAAGAACGATCGCAGCGACTCTTTTGGCCGCGACGTTGCTGATGGCCCTATACTCTGCATCAACTCTTTGGTGCTACACTGTCAAGGCTAGCATGGCCTCCACAGATGTGCAGCCCCGCACCACTGAGCACATGGCTTCGTGTTGCGTTTCATTTGCATGCGCTCACGCATGCGAATGACAACCTAGCATAAAATAGTTGACGTCGAGCATAGGGCTACAACAGTCGTGTCTTATTAACACGGACCCTGTTAATATGGATACCCACTGTATAGACAACATTTTTGGGGGATGGGCTGGGTAAATTGATTCATTTTTGTCTCGTTATCATGGACAACTTGGATTATGGACGCTTTTTTGAGTAAACGGAGCTATCCTCATTAATGGGACATCACTGTGCTATAAGTCTAAGGTGAAATAAAGAGTGGGAAGCTACAACCTCACGCTTCTAGCTTTTTTTTTATTACCGCTAACAAAGTGTATGCAACCGGACGAGACAGCCTTGTTTGGCTTTACTTGAAAGCTCCCACGACCTGCTAGCCGTCCTTTTAGATTATGACCAATGTCCCCGTGTGTCGTGTCCCCTAGCCGTACGTGTCTTCTGCCAAGTTTGTGGGCCACCTGTGCCAGCAAGTGGTCCCGGGGCTGGGCCAGCTTCCCTCGGAAGAGGAGGCCCTGGAACTGCTGAAGCTGTTGGCCGAGATGGCGCCTTTCGCCTCTGGTCTGGAGGAGCAGGATGCCTGCCTCGAACTCGTCTTCCTCAAGTTGCTGGTGCGCATTGCGTATATCCTGGCTTCTTTTTTTTTTGGTTAAGGGGCAACACTGCTTCTAGAGCTTTTTTTTATATAACTTGTGATTCAATTTGAATGAAATTTACATAGCTTATTTGCCATTACAATCTGACTACAAATGTGTGCTTGGTTTTGATGCAACCTAATTAGTTTTGTTAATATTGAATATATCATTTGTGAAGATTATGGGAGGATTAAGACAAATATAAATTCTGAAATTAGAAAATAAACATATATCAGTGAACTAAAAGGTGTGTGGAATCCAATAAGGCATAAATGAAAGCTCTAGGACGCTTTATAAACTTTTTAGAGCACTTCGGAACTTTTCAGTTTCAAGATGATTTATTGCAGTATGCCTAAAAGGCACCTAAAAAAGCCTGATACCCTTCTTAATATATTTTTACCCCTTATTGCATATGTCACACATACACCTACCAGAGAAGGAAAAAATTTTGAAGATTAGATATGTGCAAGTAGAGACATTCATATTAAAAATAGCGCAAAAAAAAGATGGGACAAAAAGACGAAGAAGCACAGAGGACGAGCGCTGTGCTTCTTCGTCTTTGTGGCCCGTCTTTTTTGCGCTATTTTTAATATGAATCTCCATTACCAACTTGCCCAGCAAACGAAGCTTTTACAGTGCAAGTAGAGGTATGGCTTCCATAAAATAGTAAAGGCTGTAAATAGTTCACTCAAAATAATATAGAAGACCATCTACAAACGCATTTTACTTTGTTTCCAAGACAATATTTCAAGATAAGAGACACTTATTTCACGACAATCCTTCAGGCTATGATAAGTGCCCGCCAATATTCAAAAAATGCAATTTCAAAAATGTGTTTTCTTTGTACATTTTCCCCTCAAAGAGTAGTGTCTCCCCTTAAACTAAACGGGCTGAACGAGTTTTAGCTTGCATAGTGAAAGAACCGGCATGGTCGATCGGCATGGTCGATTCAGTTGAAAGTGTCACGAATACTGAATGATGCTTGCACTGCACGGTTGCGCGTGCTTGACAGGAATGCTGAAAGCCCATAGCTTGCTCTTTTACCTTCTGCTACGGTTGCACTTGAAGTGAAACGCAGTATACCAAGTGGGAAAGCGAGCAGGGCACATAATTGTCGGTTGTTGGAGAAGTTTCTCCAGAAAGGGGGCCGTGCTCCGAGGAAAAATCACTACTCCCCTCTTTACGAAAAGCACAACTTCTGCACTAATCTCGCCAAGCCTGCAGTTAGTCGGTTTAAGGTGTGTGAAAGGGTTCTTGAACCGAGAGGAGATGCCATCGAGCTAAATTTTGGGGTTTGCTGTCGCAAACCTACAAAGGGCACCCCGCGACGGGTCGAGAGTGAATCAAAACCATATGGGAATCTTTTGTGCGCACCATGATCTGGGCTAGTGGTGCCCTCACTTCCGAATTACGGGCACCTTGGCCGGGGTTCGAACCCACCAATCGTGGATCCGTAAGGCGACGTCTGTGACGGCGTCGGCCTGTCTTTCCCACAGGAGTTCATGCCCCTGCCCCCCGCGGGAGAGGACACGGAGAATGCCGGCGAGCAGCCGGCCCTGCAGCTGAGCCACGTGGAGTGCCTCATGTACACCTTCCACCAGCTGGCCAAGCGCAGCCCCGAGTTCCTCACGGGAGAGAGCTCGGCCGAGCGGCTCAGGGACTTCAAGCTCAGGTTCGTTTAGCATCAGCCGCTCGACTTTGGTTCCCACTTTGCTCTTCGAGCCCTTTGTGTGGGGGGAAACAAACGGAGCTGCCGTGGTGAGCGGTACTGAGCCAGGTGGCACTGGCCTGAGAGCGAAGCAAAAACGTCGCTCGCATCTGCGTGGCCGCGCGTCCAGACATGAGCCCTGGAAACTCGTCTGGATCTCCATTTCTGCGTGCCTCTTTCTCGTTTTGGCGTCGACAGTGCAGGCACTCTACGGTACGTGAAAATGCTTCTTTCGCGAAGTGGTTGCCCTCTTGCAAGGGGTGTCGCGGGAGTTTTAGGCTTCCTGGTCGGACTGGCACTCAAACTTTTGGGCATCGTTAAATGGTAGCCTGAAATTAGTGCAGTGTAAAAAAGCCGAATTTAGGCCAGGGTTGCCCTTGAGCGAGGACAGTTAGGAGACTCGTTGCTACGAGTCAGGGGTCTTGAACGCGAGTCCTGTGGGCTGCATGGAGTCCGCGGCTTGCTGGGATGCGTCCCCCCAAGCATAGAATGACTGTGAACCCCTGCTCCCGTGTCCCGAACAATGTATAATGAATAGTGGTCTCATCGTCATTCGTTTGTGCTCGCACTTTTTTTGTCTGTTCCAATTTCTTTGAGGCTCAGTATCGTTTTTTCTTAATTTTCAGCTCTTTCTCTTGTTACCCACCTGTACGACAGTCCCACTACAGTGTACACCGCATATAACGTATGTCGTGGGAGCCGCGAAAATCTGCACTATAAGCGGTACCGCGCTATAACCAAAACATGTATTTTTCAGGCCAAAATACATGCCATCAGACAACTTACCTTTGTAAAAGAATTTATCTTATGTTAGATGAAAAATAAAGCTTAGTTTGAGGAAAGTCTTTATTACACCAGACTAGTACACTTCTCTCTCAAGTGTGTCACACATTTTGAAAGAAATGAGCGACTTTTGCCTGGCGCAGCCTTTTGCGGACGGATGTTGCGAGCGTTCACGATTGCTAACCCTAATCACTTTTCTCCGGTGATGAAAACGCGTCAAAATTCGCATCCTTTATATGGTACGCGCCAGTAATACCTTTAACTTGAGCACAGGCATGAAATGCTCCAAGAAATTCGGGCGATGTTCGAAAACACAAATGTTTAGAAATCGCCACTGTAGTCAAAGTAAGCAAACACGACGACACAGGCGTTTTTGCCATCTTGAGAATGCCGCCACGACATCGCCGCACGAGTAGGTGGATCTTCCCTTCTAGTACGTGCTGGGTTATCATAGCGACTCACAACGAAAATTCACAGTCAAGGATAGCGCTTTTACACGGAACAATAAGCTTCCACCACGCCGTCTACGTCGACGATCACAACCGACGCCATGTTTGCGAATAGAAGCAGCCGGCCCGCGACCGGCATGCAATGCGTGCGAACACTTCTCCTCGACCTGCTATTGATCTGTCGTTGCGGTTGTTTCCAATGCAGCAGGGGTACGCACACACGTGAACGACACGTGCGTGCATCCCTCCGTCGCTATGGCAACTGAAGCCTCTCTCTTCACTTCTCCCCGCTTCTTCGAGCAACCTCCTTGCCCCGCGAGTGCCGCTTGCGGCTCGCGCCGTTGTCTAGTGTCGCACAGGGAAACGTGCTCGCTGCACCGGTTAGTCGGCGCGGTCGCCGGTCTGTTGCAAAACCGCATTATAACCGGTATTTCCCTTCGCGCACCTACATTTTAAGCGGTATGTAATTACATAGAGTTCTATGGGAGGTGAACCGTTGGTTTAAAAAAGCCGCGTTATACCCGGTCCTGCACTATAAGCGGTTACGTTGTAAGTGGTCTATACTGTACTATGCTACAAGCGCGAGCTGTTTGGGACGCATCTCGGCTGCCTCGACTCTTTTTCTGCAGGAGCAACTTCCAAAATTCGAATTTGTGGCAGAAAGAAAACATGAAAAGACAAGAATTGATTTTTAATTTTGCTATAGAAATGCTCATGCAAGCAAAAACTTTCGTACAAAGAGCTTTTTTTTTTTTTTTAGACATTGAATTTGATCATTTTCTTTGAGAATTGAGCGACACTGCAGTGACGGCGTGCTCGCTCTCTCGTTCTATTAAGAAATGCAAGCACGTTAGTGGTCCGGTCTAGTTTTAAACTTCAGGGTTGGAACGGCTGCGCCATTTTGCGCCAGACGCATGTGTCTGCGCCATCCTGCGCCATGTTGCGGAAACTGCGCCACAGCCAATATCTCGCGCCATTATGCGCCAAATCGCAAAACGTGCGCCAAAAAAATGTTTTATTTTGTCTTGGTTTCGGTTTTTATCGACTCGATTGTCAACAATGAGGGCGTTTAGCCTGGTCGGCCTTGCAATCCCTTGTTCTGTGTATTCCCCTTGTCTATCCCGAGTCGGAAGCGCGCGAAAAAACTCGGATTCTAAGCGCTACACCACCTGCGACTGGATAGTTACTCTTCAACCATAAGCGGTAGGGCAAGTAGGCCGAGGTAAGGTCGAGTCGTTAAGCGTCAGATTGCATGAGGCTCTGCGGCCCGAGGTCCGGACGTCATCCAGTCAAAAGCAAATGAGCAAAATATTCCTTTGAGTGCTTCATCGTTAGGAGTTGGAACCGCAGTCTTGCAAGATAAATCGTGATTTGATAGAACTGAAATGCGGTCCGATCCGAAACCTTGCCGGTCAGCAGCTCTACTTATCTGCTCGGCGTACTTTAAGCTTGCTCCTGCTTATCGCTTCAAATACGATAACTTCGCTAATGGTAGTCTGCTGCTTCGATATCGACTTGCGCAACAGGATAAACTCGAAATTTGTTGCCCTGTTCCTCCGTGCAACTGCACGTCCGTTGCTTACGCACGTCACGTGGTTCCCACATATAATTACTATGTCGAGCACGTGTGGGTTGTGCGATAAGCAGTGCTGGTTTGCATTTTGAGCGTCTGAAGGCCACTCAGAAAATATCAAGGACGCTATCTTCAGAAACATAGAGTACTTGCTGTTTGATTCTCATTAAGGCTCACAAAGATTCAAGTTTTCGCATATATTACACTGTTATCCCCTCTACCTAGGTCCCTAACCGCTCATGTTCATCTCTGCTGCTAAGCACAATTGAAATTGCTTTCGTACTTGTCTAAGATACAAGCTGAAGTGCAATGCAAACTGATCTGAGCTGCTCCTAGCCTGCTCCAGAATGTAGTCTTAGCTGCTCCCAACCTGCTCCAAAACAGCTGTTTCAGCTGCTCCCGTGGCTGCTCCCAAGTACATTTAATGAGTTCCACCCCTGAACTTTGTCATAACATCAGGGATGGTGCCAAAGATTTCACTTAAAGAAATCACAAACCTAAAGATGTCACCGCTAAAACAGCAAGTTTACAAAAAGTAGAGAGCACAAGGTTTTTTATGTCTTTTTTTTTTTAAATTATAGTTTTTTTTGGTATTGCGTCGGCCGTCGACCTTTTTTGGTCTGGCTATCTGGGCCCACCACACCCAAATCAGTTTGAGACCCTTGCTTTAAGGGGTGCATTTTATGTCTTGGCAGCTCATTGTACTGCCCTATTTTGAACTTTCGAACACGTAGTTAAGGGGGGGACACTACCCAGAAAAGTCAACTTCTGTACCCAGGGTGTCTAGCGACCGGGAAAACCGGGAATCGTCAGGGAAATTTTAATTGCCGGGAAAAATCAGGGATATTGTCAAAAAGCGAGCCCAGTGAGGGAACATGAGCCGGAAATGACATTGAGTGCCCTGAGCAAAGACTTGTAGACTTGGGTCTGCTTAGAGCGAAGCGCGAGCAGACCCAAGTCCACACCTAGGATTGGATTGAGAGCGTAACACTAGGCTAGATCAAGTTAGAGCTACTAGGTTTAGTAACAAATGAGAAAGCCGTAGACCCCATTCCAATCCAAGCGGAAAGTATCCGAAAGTGCATCTCGCAGCCATGTTGCCTTGCGGTTCTTGACGTGTGTGGTAGAGCGTCATGTTTTCATTGTGTTTCCGGAAGTGGCCTCCTCACTGATGATGTCGGCGGCAAGGAGGCGCTCGTTTAATCCGGACTGGACGAACCCGAATATGCAAGTTAGATTAAGCCCATGCAAAAGGATCCTCACTGTGCTAAATGCTCAATGCCTTGCGTTGTAATGGTCTTATATATTTAACCACATCTACAGTGGTCGGGGAATTTCAGCTTTAATTGTCAGGGAAAACCTGGAAGAGTCAGGGAAGTTCAATAGAGTAATTTGCTAGACACCCTGTGTACCGCATGCTTGATTTCAATCAAATTTGCAGTTGAAGCTTACCGTATATGAGTGGCAAGACCATCCCTGCCAAATTGCATTGTCCTATGTCAATGCAGTTTGCTGTGCTGTGTAAACTAATTAAACTTTCTGGGAATACTCTCTAGATGTTTGCGGATGTAAAAATGGCACTTTTTCAAAATCCATTTTTTTTTTTGCAGAATTTGTTTTTTCTGTGTAGTGTCTGTCCCCCCTTAAGCATGCTCGTTGAGAAGGACTTCTCTAAATCGTTCCCTCGGTTCCACAAACCCTTACAGGCTTCAGTACCTGGCACGAGGGGTCCAAGGCTACATCAAGAAGCTGCGCACCGCCCTGCAAGGGAAGAGACCCACCGAGCTGAAGACAGACGAGGTAAGCACAACGTGCGACATGGTGCCCTCTGTGGCCCCATCCCCATTTTGCGGCGATAGTCGTTAGGGGCTCTTCCCAACACTAGAAATCACGTCCGTTAGTGTAGGCCGCATATAACGCATGTCGCGGGAGTCGCGAAAATCCGCACTATAAGCGGTACCGCACTATAACCAAGACATCAATTTTTCAGGCCAAAATACATGCCATGAGACAACTTACCTTTGTAAAACAATTTATTTTATGTTAAATGAAAAATAAAGCGTAGTCTGAGGAAAGTCAATCCTTATATTGCCAGACTAGTACACTTCTCTCAAGTGTCACACATTTTCAAAAAAATTGGTGAGTTTTGCCTGGCGCAGCCTTTTAACTGCGTTGCGGACGACCTGGTCTTCCACAAAGCTAAGGCACTTTAACACCTCATCACTGAAGGAGTTCTGCTCACAGTGAACCTTCAGTTTCTGTAAGAGTTCCAGTGCGTCTTTACTTGAAACTTCTGGCGTGCTCTCTTTGTCGTCGTCCGGCTCATCTTCGGGTGGACTCGCCCCAGAACCTCGCACCGCTGCAACAATAGCCTCATCGGTGGTTGCTTCCTCACGGATAAGAAAGTCGTCGTCATCCTCATCTACATAGTTTTGGAACGTGTCGTTTGCAGGAACAAAGTGGTTTTCCACAAAGTCGGACCACACATCGTTCGCTCCGATTGCCTCGTTAATCGCATCACTGCGCAGATCGGCGTCCTCCGAATTCCTGGCATCGCGCACAAACCCTGCGTTGCGAAAACACTTCTGGATGGTTGTGGCCTTTACTTGCCACAACAACGCTGTGATCATGTTGATGGCACCCCTCAAGTCCACCTTAAGGGGTTCATCTCGTTGCAACTTCAAGACGACCCTTTCGCACATGTGCTTCTTGTAGAGTGCCTTGACTGTAGCGATGACGCCCTGATCGAGAGGCTGGCTTTTAGCAGTGGTGTTTGCCGGCAGGAACTTCAAACTGACTACGCTTAATTGTGGCTGCACATTGTGAGCGCTGCAGTTGTCCAGAATAAGGACGATGCGCCGTTTTTCTGCGACCATAACCTCATTGAAACTTTTCAGCCAACTAGCAAAGAACTCTTGGGTCATCCAGGCCTTTCCATTTGCAGTGTACACCACAGGCAAACATTCTCGCTTCTTGAAGCAACGGGGTTGTTTGTATTTCCCAATGACAAACAAGCGCCGCTTGTCGGAGCCGTCCATGTTTGCACAAAACAAAACCGTGATACGTTCCTTTGAGACTTTGCAGCCGGAACAGAGTTCACCTCTAATCGTGAGAGTGCGATCGGGAAGCATGTTGTAGCACAGACCAACTTCATCGGCATTATAGATGTCTTTGTCCATGTACGCGGAAAGCATTGTCTCGAGATGATTGCGAAACAACGCCTGGATGCTGGCGTCGTCGACTTCCCCACTTTCGCCCAAGAAAACTTTGCAGCTAATCCCGTGGCATTCTTTAAACCGCTGGATCCATCCGTTGAGGCGGTTGAAGCCTTCGTGTTCGAACAAATGTCCAAAAGACTTCGCTTTCGCTTGTAGCATCGGGCCACTCACTGGGACGTTCTTGGCTGGCACTTCGCGAAACCACCTAAACAAGGCTTCGTCGACGTCTTCATACTTTGACGTACGAATCCTCTTTCTTGAGAGAGGCGCAGAATCTTGCTGTAGCTGCTTCCGTACCTGCTCCCGGTTCTTCCAGACAGCAAAAACAGTCGTGTCAGTGACGTTGTACTTGGCCGCGACGGAAGCTTTTTTCATGCCACTTTCGACATCTTTGACGATGCTCTGTTTAGTTTCGAGAGACAGGGTTGTCGTTTCTTCGTCATCCTGGGCTTGGGAGACTGAGAGATCGGGATGGACGGTCGATTTCTGCACGATATGCTTGACGCGCTCCACACGCGGTCCAAGCAGACGACGTGGTGCAAGTTTGCACACTGCAAGAAGCGAAGCTAGAAGAAACCATCCAGCTATCCAGCCTCCTTTCGGCGCGCGCGCGGTGTAAGAAAGGAGGTTGGTGTTGCGTCACTACAGCGAGAGGGGAAATCGAAAGGGTGAAAGCGTGAAAGGCTTGGGAGTGGCTCGATGAGGCTTTCGGAGTTGAGCACGCGCGTGCGTGTGTTGGTCGCACCTCGCTACCTCGCTGCGTTGTAACTCGGGCGTAGTCATTCGTCTTCGCCTCTCTCTTTGCTTCTTCAAGCAACCTCCTTGCCATCCTTGCCCCCACGAGTGCCGCTTGCGGCTAGCGCTGTTGGCGCCGTTATCTAGAGTCGCACAGGGAAGCATGCTCGCTGCGCCGGTCAGTCAGCGGGGCCGGCGGGCTGTTCCAGAAACCGCACTATAACCGGTATTTCCCTTCGCGCGCCTGCATTTTAAGCGGTATGTAATTACATGGAGTTCTATGGGAGGCGAACCGGTGGTTGAAAATAGCCGTGTTATACCTGGTCTTGCACTATAAGCGGTTAAGTTATAAGTGGTCTATACTGTAGTTGATGTTCTAGTTGTCGTCATTGGGGATGTAGTTGGCGATGTAGCACGTCCGTCGTCGATGTCTTCGAATCCTCGAAAATGATTGCCCGCCGCCGTCGAGAATCTAACCTGGGTCCGGCACGTGCGAAGTGGAGGCGTTACCACTGAGCTACGCCATGGCGTTAGTAACATGCACTAAGCTTGGGGTTTTTTTAGTACCCAATGTCCATTGCACATGCTCTCTGGAAAAAAAAAAAAAAAAAAAAACTTTTAACATAATGCTGTTGTACCACCGTCAGTGCCAAGAGCACATGCCAGGCGACAAGCTCTCACACTCTTTGGAACAAAAAAAAAAAAAAAATAACAAAAAAACCAAACAAGCGTTTTGAATGAAAGAGTTGTATTGTGTGCCAAACATTTTTTGTTTACGCACCCCACGGTGCGTGAACGCGACGCCGCTGCCCAACGGCTTCGCCGTGACTTGTCGCAGCTATCGCTGGGACTGTAATGTGAATAAACACAGGATTGCTAAATTTTTTTCTGAACATCTTCAGTCTTTCTTTTTTTAATGTTTTTGTCTGCTTTCCTTTGCTTTTTGCCCCTCTTGCTCTATGGTCGGGCACAAGTTCAGATTGCGTCAGAAGCTGCGACGCATTCGGTGCCTTATGTCGCACTTTGGCCGGGCACACTCGAACCCCGCAGTAATACCAAAGGGTGAAAGCTTGCACCAGAGGCAAAGCTTCTGGCTCATTCTTATCTCGTGTCTGACTATACTAAGTAGTATGCATCACTGCATGGCTAGCATGATTTTGGATGTAACATGCAGTTTGTCAGCCAGTGCTTGCTTTGTCCCGAATTAACCGGAGTGCTTACTAAACTGTGCATTGCAGAACAACAAACTTTGTGATGCGACGGGTGGCAAGAACCACCGGCCGACGAGCTCCATTTTTTTTTCTTAGCTTTTCTTGGCGCTTTCTTGGCATCTGTTAACAAGATCATTTTCATTTTTGGCTGTGGTATTGCCGATTCGCCACAAATTCTTGTTTAGTTTTTGGACCCTTTTGTAGCCCTGCTCTACTCTCCTTCAATGAAGGTGGTACCGAAATCCTTGACCTAACTACCCTCACATTTGACTGCAGCGACTCTTGGATCAGATCAAGTGACAATTCGGTCGCTTCACTTTTTCTTTCGCAGAACAAGCTGAAGGTTGCCGCCCTCAAGACGACGTCCAACATCAACATTCTCATACGGGACCTGTTCCACGTTCCGCCGTCGTTCAAGGCCGCCATCAGCCTCTCTTGGAAGCCTTCTGCCAGTGCGGTGAGTCCTACGAATCGTGTCCATCCGATCTGCCGTTTGTCGGCACCCGTTTTGTCGGACTCGTTGCGGATTGTACGTCTTCTGAAATGCGCCGAATCGTTCTCAGGAGCGACCGGCGGTACCGACACCCGAGGTTGCGTCAGCGACACCCGCTGCAACTGGGTAAGCCGTCTCCAAATTTTCTAATCTGAATCGAATGTGGTTTGTAGCGGTAAAGTGCAGAACAAATGCATCCTCACGACAAAAAGTAAGTGGTTAGAAACGACTGCTGTAAAATACCAGGCAAGCGCCCACTCAAAATTTAGGAATAATCGCGAGAGAATAGGGGATGGGCGTCCGGTCATCGATTTTGCATATAAATGCACTGCACATATTTCCTCAGATCTTACAAATTTGAGTATGGGCGCTCAATGTGGGCTGGGTGAATGCCCGGTATTCTACGGTATGGAACAACATTCGAAGGTTTGACTGTCTTTGGAAATGCTGTGGTGGTGGCACCTTCAATTTGTTCAAGCCCCCAAGGATTATGAAATAACCTAAGATACAACCAACAGTTAAAATCAATGGGCAACCTTTTTTCAGTTATTCTAGAGATTTTTATGGAAAAAAGGGAGCAGCAGTGAAGTGACTTCTTAGCAACTCGAGAAAGATAGGTTCTACTGGGCTTTCTTTTTTGGTGGGGCAAGGGTGGAGGGGAAGTGGGGGGTTGACATTTCTAAGAGACTGGGTCTACGGGTTTCTGGAGCATTTTTCATGCTGTAGGCCACACTTGTAGCTTCAATGTGACTCACACCTGCACTCCCCTCGGTTTGCCGATTCGGTAATCGTCCTCCCTAGTTAAAGCAAAGGTTCACTTTTGTTCCCGCTTGCTGACCTTGACAAGAGCAACTAAGCTCAGCGAAAAAGGGTGACTTGCTTGTGGTTGCACGGCAGGGCCACAACGTGCCGTCACACCCGCCTCCTTTTCCTGCGCTTCTCGCAGTAGTGCCGCGACCAGGAGCGAGAAGCGACGCATCGAGTTTCCCGAGGGCGCCCCGACACCGACCAAGAGTGCCAAGAAGCCCGTGGTGTCGGGGAAGAACGAGCGGGAGCTCTACAGTCCGCCGGGGGGCAAGTACAGCACCAAGGTGCAGAGCTTCCAGGGAGGTGAGCTACGGCTCGGGTGACCCCCCCAGCTCGGGGTCTTGCGCCTTCAGTCCCCGTGTCTGTCTCGAATCGTTTACATTAAAGCCTCTCGATAAAATTTGCGCTTTGCGTTTCTTACGAATTGTACTGGGCACGTTCCACGAGCGAGTGCTGCGCCGCCATTGGTTTCCAAGGGCAGCACAAGGTACACGCCTCGCATGCCTTTGACGCTGCTTGTAAGACAAACCCAAAAAATGAAGGACGTTTACAATTCCCTGTAATGCCGAATTAGAGCACAGCTCTTAAGGAGGAGGAGGGGAGAGTATGCCCCTCCTCACCCTTCATACACTCTTGTCCTCCTCTCGTTATCCCCCTCCTCCCTCGTGACGTCTCTCGTGAAGGTCACGACATTCACGTGATTTTCGCTATGAAGGTTGTGGCCTTCACGGGTGACCTTCGTGACGTCACCGTGACCTGTCATAAGCTGAGGTGGCTCTCTTTTCCTGATGTTTTGTCAGCGCTTCCGCCATTGCCGACGAAAACGCTGTGTGTTGTGCGGGTGCAATCTGAGCTGTTGGGCTCTTTAAAATTTAATTACTTGTGCGGCGGAGGAGTAAAAATTTGGATGTTGTGCCAGTGATATTCCTAAAAGCAATGACAATAGAATTTAATTTTTTTTTTTTTGGAAAGACAAAATTTTACCAATTTTTAAGCTCGTTTTTAGCAGATTTGACCCATTCCTCAGTATAAAGCTAGGTGTCAAAGTTACCCTCCCCATTACCCGCATTACCCCCGACAATGTCCGTAAGCTCCCACACCACTTTTGTTGCATCCTTTCCGAGACCGGGAGGAGACATTCGGCTGCAACGAGAGATACCCTCGAGATTGAAAAGACGCAGTTCTCTGGCCGCCCCACCGACGCAGAGGTTCCGCTCGCTCCTCCTTGCAGTGCCCACAAACGCCCGCGGGGGTGTCGGAGGCCGCGGGGGTTCCACGCGGTTCCGCGGCTTCAACCGGGGCTGGCGGGGCCGGATATACTCGTGAGTGAACCACCCCTCCCCGCAGCCGGGGTGTACAGCGGCAGAGCGCTTCCTGGCCGGCGCTGAAGCAGTGACAGCGGCGGCAACACCAGCACTACCCTTCGTCCGAGACTGCCTCGAAGAGGAACTCCATCCCGACTCCCCTTTTCGCATAGGAAGGCCATTTTCACCTCTCTCTGTCTCTCCTCCCTCTTTCGCCTTGCTGAGCACTCTCGTCTTGATGCGATTATGTGTTGCATCCGGCAGGCACACTTTTCCGAGTGTCCTCAGCTTTGCCCACGTTTGGGGGCCTTTCGAAGCGTCTTCAGCTTCGCACGTGTCTGTGGAGCAGTATGCATTCGGAAGTAACGTATCGATTCTTTATCTCTCGGCTTTTGGTGTACCCTCTCGTTCGTTTAAATTGGGGTCACGCAGGGATGTCCTACTTCTGTCTCGCGAACGAGAGTTTTGGCGTTTTGTTTTTATCGGCGATTTGGTTCGTTCTCTTAGTTTGGCAGAGGCAAGTTGGGATTAGAATGTGCCCCCCGACGGATGCTTTGCATCTTTTCTTAACAACAACCTGTCAAATTGGCCACATTTTGTTTTTTTTATTATTATGTATGTTAAAATCTCTTTAGAAAGATTTTTTTCATACTGTTATTTCTTGGGAAATTGCTTGTTTCGACCGACATTGTGGCATGTCATTCATGGCGTCGAGAAGGTATGAATGACATGCCTACAGCACATTTTTAGCAGATGTAACGAAATTACCGTAGGCGAGTTTGGGATGGTGAAATTGAGATTGGCTGTTTGTTTTTCTTTTTTTCCGTTTGGCAAGCCGATTTTAAAGGGGTGCTCAAAGTGGTTTTGTCACATTGTCTTAATTAAGGTCTTTGTTTTTTGGAGTGTTGGTAGGAAGGGAGGGAGGGGGAGAGAACGAGAAAGGTCATCCCCATTTCATAATTTGTTTCGTCTGCTGCTTGGCCACGGCAGTCGCTATTGAACTCTAGAGCTGCATTGCTCCGAAATGCGACGGCCGACGCGCAATAATGCACTGGCAAGGAGGAGATGGCGTAATTTGGCCCGCATCGTCTGAAGGCGATTTGTAAGCGTCCGAATAAAAAAAGTTTGTAATTAAACACTCGGTTCTGCTTAATGCACTGTGGAGTGGTTGCTGTGCATTTTAGCCGTTTTGTATTGGGGTGAGCGTGTACGGCTTGAGTTCTTACAGATGCTTGGAGACCTGAATTTCCATGGCGTTCGTTAAAGGGACCATGAAGACAGTTTCGAAGTTTTATTCGACGATTGAAATGGATGTCAGGTACGTCTTAGATACTGTTGACCAAGTTCTAGCCCGAACAGAAGTTTGGGTGCCGCAGGATTCGAGCAAACAGGCGCAGTAATAATAGTGCCGGGAACGATGCCTAAGACCCCACCGAGGAGGCGGCAGAAAGGTGAACTAAAGTGTGCCGTCGAAGCATGACAACAACAGGCTCCTCGTCTGGCGATTGGTTCAAACGATAGACGCGCTCTTGGTTTCGATTTCAGTGGTGAGATGTGATGAAAAATTTTTATTTGAACGTTGGATAATCTTTTGAAGTTGTAGTTGGGAATTGATAGGTTTCATACTGTGTATAAAAGCATAATCTGAAGCGATCCCTCCGTTTGTCACTGGTTGAACGCATCCTGCTCTGCTACCTCGGGCGCGTAACAAGCATCGAGCAACCATGGACAAAGAAAAAGGTATGAGCGCCAGGGGCGGCGGACTTTTGGTTTTGGTTTCATGCGTCGTCTCGTGTTCGCTTTGCGAACTGGTGTCTCACCAATCATGCCGCGTTTATGTGCAGTAGTAGGTTGCGTGAAAGGTCGGCTAAAGATGTGCGGTCCATCGGGCGATGTTAGTTTGCATAAACTGCCGACCGATGCAGCAATGCGCAGCATTTGGTTGCGCGCCGTTGTTTTGCGTAGAGGTATGGACAGCGGTGTCAGGATTTGTTCAATGCATTTCCAACCAGAAGACTGAGTAGCACCTTCACGTCAGCCGGAGTCCGGGTAAAAGTGGGGCGGGGAGTCGCTCTGGGAGGCAGCGATTGAGGAGATGGTGGTAGGTCTGGGGCGCCCTCGTAAAGCGCCATTCCAGAGTTCTGCGTCCTTAGCAGCATCTCCCGTTCAGTCGGCGTGAGGTCGCTGAACGGGAGCTCAAACTCGTTTGCGAGCGCGGCGTTGTCGTCCATTTCTTCCAGGTTTTCTTCACAGACCGCCGTGCACTAGAGCGAACCACGGGAACCACACTGAGTGTGCACTAAATCCTACCGATGCCGACAGTGCTCCCTGACGTCACTTCTCTTTCCAGAGGCGAAAAAGGGAAGAAATCTGAATGTTTGTTTCGGTTTCACAAATATATTAGCAAGTGCAAAAATAAGAGTCACAACGTTCTAGAAAAAATTGTGTGGCATGCCAGGACCTTAATGCTTCCGAAAACACCTTCTTTTTTTAAAAAAGTTAAATTGCCTTTATGGTCCCTTTAAAAGGTCTTCTATTTCCAAGGCAGAGCTGCAAATTTAGGACAGTAGAACCAGTGTTGCAGCAAGTTCTTTTCTTCTCGCATGATTTTCCTTTTCTTTTTTTTTTTTTTTTTTACCATAAAGGAGTACAGCAACCTTGGGGAAAATGTGCAAGTTTGAGTGATTGAAGTATCGGGTGGCTCTTGGGTGAAGTTGGTGTGGGGAACTGAAGGCTCTTTAGGGAGTCCCTACACTGGGTTCGGTGCATCGAGAGCATAGCCCAGGTTTTTCAGCGAGGCCATAATGGCCTTGTAGACAGAGGGATCCTCGATGGTCACAGGAATCTGAAATAAAGGTTGACGATATCACTTGGGTGACAAGAAGAATGGAGTACTTTCATCAGCCAGAGCTTCCGAACAACCCTAGGGCTGACACTAAAGTAACTAATACGACACTTGCACAGTTGCAGCGTGTTGTTACGGCTTGCCTTGACTGGTTTTCCCCTGGCGAGGTCGGCAATGGTCTTCCGGGGAATCTTTCCCGAGTGGGTCTTTGGCAGAGCTGGCACACAAGTGGCCAGTCTGAAGGCCGCCACCGGTCCCACGTCTATGCGAACCAGTTCGGAGATCTGCCCTCTGATCTCATCCAAGGATCTGCTTACATCTGAAGAGAGTGAGAGATGACCGACTCTGCAGGAGGCCAGAAGCGCCACCGGGGTTACGGGATCGAGCGCTGGCTTTGCAATTTGGACGTTGCAACATTAGGGAATTGTAGTAGACCGTTTCCGCAGTCCGCTAGGCTCCCGGATAGCGCACCGTAATCCGCCACAAGTCCTTGAACTATGCAGACAAGGCTGGCGGCGCACATGCGCAACTGCGACGTTTTCTTTGGGGATACCGTAGCAGAGGAGAAAAACCATCTACTACAACTCCCTATTCACTCGCGTAGTGTACGTGCGAGTTTGCGCAGAGTACCGTAAGGCATTCCACAAGGTGTTGCCAGAAGGACAGACTTGTGAAAAGGTTCAGTAGTTGCGAGCTAACGTTAGTTTTTCGTTGCATAGTTGTCTGTTTAGCGTACTGGACCGCCATGTACATAGCCGAGCGTTGTATTGAATGTTGTGAAATGGAATGGAATGTTTGAGCTGTGCTTGAATCTCAAATCTCTGGGGAAGAAAAATGTTGAATCACACGATTTCCTCTGCTGACGTTATTTCTCTATTTTTACTTGTCCAGTTGCGTGATTCTTATTTTAAGATACAAGTTCTGATGTTACTTTTCTCAGTCTTGAGCCCGTACCTCGGCAACCTAATATAGGAATAAAACAAAAAGAGTACTAATAAGGTGTTTTTTTCTTTGTAGCATTCCTCAAATTTAAAATTATATTTGTTTTATCCTCAAGAAAAAAGGAAGTTTTGCGCATTGTTCATACGCCGTGCGAAGCAGTTCATAGAAGGTTCGGTTGTCGGTGGAAGAAGGAATGCTTTTGGCATTCTGAACGCGTAAACGTCTTGATAAGATAACATACGTCTAATTTAAAATGCTCCTGCATATACAGTAATCGCTCGTTATACCGAAATCACTTTTTTCGAATTATTGTTTTTATCAAAGCGTTGTCCCTACCGAAATGCTTGCATTTTTAACCGGATTATTTTAATTATTGGCGGCCGACTACGCTTATTCGAAGGCCGCGGTGCCGAAAGCACGCAAGCCTGAACCACGGTGGCCTACACGGAGGCGCACGTAGACCCTTCCATTCTTTCCCCCTTCTACACCGAGGCAAACGGCAAACAGGGAAAAAGAAGTGAACAGGTGACGGAAGGCAGAGCGCCGCTTCCGATGCGCCGACGCGGAGGCACGGACAGGAAGCAGGGGGCGCGTTGCAATATTGGTGAAGCCTAGTCATAAAAAAGTTTAAACGATGCTGTGGCCAACGTGACCGTAGATCTCTCTGGCAATTGGTGCACGTGATATGTCACGTGTGAGGTGGATGGTTGCTCGTAGGATTCCTTGCAGGCTTGCGCCCGCTCCGTCCGCTAAGTTTTATCACATTGAACGCTAGACGAAGGCTAGCTACGGTCACGTGATGTGGTCACGTTGGCATGATAAGTGAGAAGGAAAATGAGAAAGATGCGAGGTGTCAAGGGAGCTTGGCTTGTGGAGGCTATGCGGCTGACGTCATGAAGCCGCAGGAGCAGTGTCAACGTTGCAACGCTACTCACGGCGCCGGCGGCCGACGCCGCCAGACTCCTGTCGAAATCGGGTCAAGGGAGCGATGGAGTCCGGAGGATATCATCCTTCGGGAGGCCCCGACGCACTCGCCTGCGTCGTATTACAACCACACGTGTGTCGCAAAGGAGATTGGGAGTGTTTACCGAAAGTCGCTTAGATCGGCGAGGTTAAAAACTGTCCACCATGCTGTCCGAAGCCCCCCTTCTGTGCTCGATCTCTTGTGTCCCCTCGTTGTCTTTCTCACAACTTACTGGCTCTTTGTCTGGTAATGGAGTTCGTACCAGCCTACAGCGTAATGTTTCCGTCCACCTTCGAGGCTGCCTGCACTGTTTTTTTTTTTTTGGCTCCATCGCTTTTATCGAATTATTGCTTATATCAAATTTTTTTTGCTGTCCCGTTGACTTCGTTATAACGAGGGATCATTGTATCTTTACATAAAAGTGAAATTCAGTAACGCTCCGTTAGGATTCTTTTACTACAGTCCTTGAGGTGAAAACAAGTATAGCTCATTTGCAATCTTTTGTGACCTGGGTTACTTTATTGAATTATCTGCAGAAGTCCAAAAATGCATGTGCATCTATATGATGTGTCCCAAAAGTGCTGCACAAGCCTGAGGTTTCCCTACCATACACACATGACAATGTACAGTACCTACCATTCTTCAGTACAAAGAGAGCAAGCGGAACCTCTCCCTTAATTTCGTCCGGAACCCCCACGACCGCGCAATCTGCGACGTCCGGATGCTTCATGATGGTCTGAATGAAAGAGCGAAAATCGACGCATTTGAATTGGATGGTACGTTGCGCCCCCTCCCTCTAGTGGCCACTGCCAGTTATTCACCTCTTCTATCTGGAAGGTCGAAAGGCGGTGCCCCGCCACGTTTATGACATCGTCGCTTCTGGAGAGGATGCTGATGTACCCATTCTTGTGCCGAATACCGATGTCCATTGTGTCGTAGTAGCCCTATCGTAGGAAACATGGAGGAAGTGGGTTATCTGCTGCCCTTTCTTAAAATTGCAGCTAGAGGCTACCGGAAATTTCTCGAAGTACTTGACAACAAAAGCGTCGTCTGCCCGGAAGAGTGTCGAGAAGGCTCCTGGGGGCAGCGGCAATCTGGAAGACGCCGATTTCGTGTGACTGTGCCCACTTTGCAAGATAGCTTAGAGTCACCGCCACCGACTGGTGAATAGGACGCTTTAAGTAGAGTTCTCACCGGACGGCCACGGTACCGAGCTGGTTTGGAGCTGCTTCCAAGCCGTCGTCTAGCAGCACCCTAACTGAAACGTTGCAATATCAGACGGGTACTCAAGCAGCAATACCGGCAGCCACATTACCATCCCACCCTGGTACTGGGACTCCCGTTGCTTCCTCGGGTACATCCATTGAGTTCCCCAAACCGACGCACGTGGCTGTCGCTGGTGAACCCATTTCTGAAAAAGTAAGCAACGCCTAACCATTTCATATGCTATGTACACAAATGTGTACATCTAAAACCCTCGGGTTTTTTTTTTTTTTTTGGGGGGGGGGGGGGGGGGTAATTTTTTTGGAGGGGGGGGGGGGAGGGGGATATGTTGAACATTGAGTCATTTTAACAATTTTAGTGGGAAAATGTTTTTGACGATAAATGGCGAGCGGCATTTGAAATGGTTAAGGCACGTTCACACACTTTAAAGGGGCAGTGCAACTATTTTAATGTTGAAAGAATTGGCAGTTTGCATCTTTTATATTGTTTATGCAAGCCCAAGTGACCAAAAACGCGTCACCTTTCCCCGAAAAACTGCTATTCTGCTGCGTAATCGCAAAGCGAAAAACAAATTATTTGCCTGTGGCGGTTACGGGAACCAAAAAGACAGCGTCACTGGATGATACGCGGAAGTGAACAAAACCTGTCCCCCTCCGCTGCTACGCTCGCCGTCAGCCCCGGGGCGAACCGCCCTTTGTGTTGATCGCTCGCCGCAACCTTCGATGATGCTAATCCTTTAAAAGTCGACAATCGCTGAGGAAGCGGCTGGGGTCTCTGAAGAAAGGACCGAAGGGGAAACCACGTGAACCCCCAGAGTATGTCACTCTAAAGTCGACATGGAGATTTGAGAGGCACTTTGACCTTCAATTTGTTTCATTTTATTTAAATAAAAACTAGTGCTCGCAAAAAAATACGGCTTTCTGTTTTTCGTTCTATAGGTGAGGCATATAAATTTTCGCAGTTAATTGGCCGAAGTCTGAAAATCGTTGCACCACCCTTTTAAGTTTGTCGGCTGAAGCCTGCAGTTTACTTTTATGTGTGCTTACCTGTTTGCCCCCAGTCGACCAAGACGGGAACGCCAAATGTCTTCGCCGTCCAGCTCCTTGTGCCTTGATCACATCGTTCTCCACCCAAGAATACTTGACGCAGCCTACGCGGACAGGCGGCTCAGCTCCGACCCTTACACTTGTAATGTATAAATGAATATTGCCTTACTGCTTCATCGGGAACTTTTTTGCAAAGCATCCCTCGGGATCCTGCGAAAAAGGAGCCCCGAACACGGCGGCGTGGCATTATCTCGTAGGTTCTCGAACCGAGTTCTTAGGAACTCGGGGGTTCCCTGGACTACCTTCGTGAGTTCCTCGAGCTCTCCAATCTTAGCTGTCCTTGTCCCCGAGTAAAGTGCAATTCCTACTTAAACGCTGTCCCCGAGTAAAGTGTAATTCCTATTTAAGCGCTGTTTTGGCTAATCTTCATTAGAGTAATATGGTATAGCTTCGTCGGCTGTGGGCATTGCAAAATGCAATAGTCAGGCACGCAGGTAAACAATATTTGACCGACACGTAACCCGTAAACCCTGCTGCTACCAGAATTTGGACAGTCCGTGCTTGTTCGGCTTTGAAAAATAATTTTGTTGCCTTTTACACTCACTTCTTTCCGAATGACTCTCATTGCTGTGGGTGCCGAGAACATGCCGCACACACCGTGCTGTTTGATCACTCTGAAAAAGCTGCTGGCATCTGGCGTGCCCACGGGTTTGCCCTTAAAACAGGTAAGAAAACGGTTGAGATGTCTTTGGGCTGAAACTGCTCGCAAGGCAACTAACCTCGTACAACACGGTTGTGACACCTTTGAGAAGAGGGGCGTAGCATATGCAAGAATGGCCAACAGCCCAAGCCAGGTCTGAAGCTGTCCACCAAATGTCATTGTCTCTGACGCCATACACATTCTCGAGTGTCCAGAGAAGGTTGACCGCGTGTCCTCCTGCGGGCCGTACGACTGCCTGTTGGAGTGTGATGTCAAAGGGCACCTGTTAAACAGTTGACATGCCAAGTCCAAATAGGTTACTAAGTTGCTATACAGTCTGGGCGGGGGGGGGGGGGGGGGAGGAGGGAGGGAGAGAGAGAGAGAGAGGAGGAGGAGGACATGGTACACAAAAGGTAATCCGAAACACGCCGATCAAAGCTGTGCATGTGCGTTTTTCATCTCTCGAATGCCACAGAAAGTTGTTTTTGGGTATGGTGGAAAGAACTTGAATAGAAGCATTGAAACGGCAGGCATTTAGCTGAAAGACAACTTCTCCGAGCACTGAAAGCACTGTGTGCCACGTTGAGGATTTCGGAACGTTCATTACGAGAGGTAATTTTGTTTGTATTTGCCATAAGGAAATGATCACTGGATGTGTCGATCATGGTCTCTCCCAATAAACAGTTATTGGCTCGATAGAGTCGGGGTGTGCAAATACTGGTGCCAATCAAAAAGGGCTATGTCATCCCTATCTTCAAGGCTTCAAAGAGAGCTGGCACGCCATGGTTTACCCTCGCCCTCTGAAGGTTATGAATGACGCAGTGCTGTTCGATTGGAACCACTATAAGCACCCCCCCCCCCCCCTCTCAAACTCTAAAAGTCCCAAAGATACACACTCCGGATTGCTATTCTATTCCATCAGCATAGGTGACCTTGTGTTTTTCTACGATATAATTTCATCAGTGCAAACCTTAGCATCTACCTTGGGCAGTCCTGTGGTACCGGAAGTATACAGCAGATATAGAGGCTCCATGGCCTCGATGGGGACACAGTCTACCGGATGCGCGCCGCGGACAACATCCTGCCATATCTCGTCTCTGCCGGCAGTCATTGGAACGTCCTGGAAAAAGGAGCGAAAGTAGTCGATGCCATGCATTGCTGTAGTATCACCAATCAACCTGACCCTGTCGTTTTCTCCTCTGAGGAAGATGAGGCACTTCTTCGGCTTGTATTCGGACAGGCTGATTGCCTCGTCTAGGATGGCTTTGTAGGGTACCAGTTTTTTAGCCTCGATGCCAAAGTTGACGGACAGGCAAGCCTCCGCCTGGTCGTAGGAGAGCAAAAACATCCAGTGTCTGTTCCAGTGCAGCGACAAGCAGATAGGAATCCAACTCGCAGAACCCCAAAAGAAATCAAGAGAGGAGCCTCTTAAGAAATAGTTGATCGCCACTCGGGCTTCTGTATACCCCGTTTCGCCCTACAATGTACTGCGACGCACGCTACAACCTACCGGAACCAATTCGTAGCTCGGAGCAAGTCGCATGACTTCGCGCTCCCCGTGCCGCTCCGCCCAACCCGAAGAACATGGGACACCCTCGGGGCCACGGATTTGCTCTGATGGTTCGTAGTGTCCGTTGCAGTCCATCCGTCTAAGGTGAAATGGATAGGAGGATTCCAGATTACGACCATTCGAGTTACCTGAGCGTGGTTTATCCGAACCGCGAGCTCCTTGGCTGCGAAGCCCCCGAAAACGAGCGAGTGCACGGCTCCGATGCGTGCGCATGCCAACATTCCGTACACCGACTCCGGTATCATGGGCATGTAGATGATGACGCGATCGCCCTTCTTGATGCCCCATTTCGAGAGGACGCTGGCAACCTTTGACACCTGTTGAGATATGGAAAGAGGAACAGATCGGTCGAATTGGTCTTGGAAGACACGGGTAATGTGCTTTAACTCTTTCCTGACCGCGTCCATAAAGGTCCATTCACACACTTGCGCTTTACTACGACCGACTGAGACAAAACACTTGACTACTTACGACCGGCTGCATTACTGCGCAGCCAGTCCTAAGCCATCGCAAGAGGCTTAGAAACCGGTCTTGTATTAGCCGGTCGTTGTCGAACAGCCATCGATCACCGGTGATCGATGGTTTTCAAGTGCCATCAAGAAATAAGTTTGGTGCGGAGAATTATGTTCCACAATCTCGTGGGAAGCCGAAGAGCTCTAGTTTCGGTTCCAACGTGGTTTGTTCTTTATCACGAGCTAGTGGTCTGTCAAAATAGTCCTGGGAAAGGTGGTTGCAGTTGTCTCACATGGCTAACTGGGAGAATCAGTCTTTGTAACAAAAAATGGCGTTATTTACATAACTCAACTGCATTGTGGCATATTTGTTTAGACCTCAAGAGCTCTGGGGACACCTTTAAAGATGTTATAGGTGTCGCTTAATAGATGGTAGTCGGTAAGCACCACTATAAATTCCAATGCCGTGCCGAGCCGGCGTGCAAGTTTTGTGTTCCCAGCAAGGCGCACAAAAATGCTAAATATGAGGAAACTGCAATCAAGGCTATGACTAAACCAAGGTAGAACACAAAGAAGGCACGCTGCTGGGGATGTGAGGTGTACTATCTCTGTTTCACCAATATAAGCATTCCTTCGTTAAAAACGTTGTGTTACGGAGGCTAACTTTCTGATGAACCGAAAATAGACAATGTCAATTAGAGTACATTAACCTTCAAAAGTAACAGCCGTGGGTGTGGGGCACATTTTCTATATTTAGATTATTTTTATCTACCGTTTAATTTGACATATATCTGCAGAAGTTTCGGCCATTATACGCCTTCCGCGTGTACATTGCATTTTCAAAAAATAAAATTTGAAAATATTTTTTAACGTATCAATTTCTGTTTCTTTTGAAAGAACAACTAATTGACCACATATTGTTCCATACGCAAGTTAGGAAAAAAAGCGCACGGATCCTACTTTTCCTGTGGTCAGGAAGAACTAAAAGGGCACTGACACCTCCCAAAGTATATATAAATATAAATAGATTTATTTTTTATTTTTTTGCTGGCGATTTATAATGGTGTCGGAAGACTAACCAATCTATGTTTTGCTACAGCGTCACGCATATTTTTAATAATGTCAAAAAGCGCTACTGATCGAAACTGAAACTGGACTGGGGAGGAAGAAGAAATATAGAGGAGGACAGAGAAATCACGTAGCTGTGCAACTTTTTTTTTTTAATCAACGTATTTGCTGTTTTTTAGAAGCCACAAAAAATGGGTCTCATATTTTTTTTCTATGTTTAATATTGAGTGTGTAATCGAAGTATAATACTTTTGATTATACTTGGTGGTTTTTGTCTAAACCACAGAAAAAGGCACGTGACCAAGGAGAAGAGAGTGAGCGCGACTCAAACCGGCCAGTTCTCGATCGGCGGTTTTTGCGAGGAGAGAAAACAAATTTAGATGGGCTCTCGTATGTCATGTACAAATAAAAACTTTGGCGAGCATAAATGCCCTGTTTGTGTCCCTGGGCCAGTTGGTTTAAAGCTAAAAGAAACAGATCAAGAAACTAAAAAACACAAGGATTAAGGCAAGAGGGATAAGGCAAAGTTCCTTGTCTTGTCCTTCTTGTTTTGGTCCTTGTGTTTTTTTCGGCGATGTTTTCCTTGGCTTGTGTTTGCCCCGAAACAAGGATCCCGTGACGTGAAGCCTCTGCGCGTTCGCCGTGCCCACAGCAGCACCGCCCCAGTGGCGTGACGTCACAGCCGAGTAGCATAACTTTTAATACTGCAGATGGGGCAAGTGGTTAAGGCATATAATTACGAACCAGCGCACAGGTTGACAGTCACTCAAAATTCTAAACACTCAAAAGGAATACAGAACTGAACTATCAACTCATAACCTGTGTTTAGTCAAACCTCTTCTTTGACCCCAAGGAATAGGATGGCAGCCCAACAACCAAGAGAAAGAAAAAATGAGACAAGGGGTCAACGAAGGGAAAGTTTGACTAAATACAGATTATGAGTGTTGGGATTTTTTAATGACTGTCGGCCCGTGCGCTGGTTCGTAATTATGGATAACTTTGCAAGCTGCAAGAGCTACGACCCCAACAAGCCAATCGGAGCGTCGCAGCGAGGCACTTGTCAACGTGTCGTCAGAGTGCACGTCTCCTGTGGAGAGCTGCCACGCCCGTCGCGCTGAATGGCTTCAGGGAGCCGTTGCATAGCGTTCGCTCTTTGCCAACCATACCTGTTCCTTGAGTTGCGTGTAAGTGATCTTGGTGACCGTCTGCGTCACAGGGCTGTCGTGGATGATGGCCACCTTGTCGCCTTTCCCGGCTTCCACGTGTCGGTCTACCGCGTTGTAGCAGACGCTGATCTCGCCCCCCGGAAACCTGCGTCAGTCCTAGGATACAGCTCACCTTAAAAGTGCTGAATCTGGCTTTCTACGTGGTATATATATAGGCAGTTTTTTTTATTTTCACAATTTGTTTTAAAAAGCGACGTGAAAGTTAGACTTGAGCGGTTTGTGCAGATGAGTTATACGACCAGGGGGACATTATGTAGATGGCTAATCTTTGCAATAAGTCGGCTAATTAGTTAACATTCGTTAATTAACTTTTTAATTAGTGAAAATAGGCATATTGTTCCAATTAGAAACTTACTGGGGGTCATTGAAAACCACTAAATCAACTCTTTGTGAACGACTTGAAGCTCGTGGGAAACTCAGGGACGCGCCAAAATTACTACTCGTGAAGCAGGCGCAAAGCTGCCACAGTTCCAGCCGGAACCTTTCCTTCTGCTTTTTCCCATTTGCCCTGTGGTAATTTTCTACCATGATCCTCCTCTTGTGCTGTGTAGACGCTACCATTCCCTATGGTCTGATCTGGTTCTAACTCCGAAAATGCTACTTCGATTGCATGTTTAATGTATTCTCTTGCTTCTTCCCCCTCTACCTTTGTCCCTCCCTGTGTGGTTAGTGTCTGCTGGAACCCCTCGGTCTTTTTTTTTCTTCTGTGCACTGATGTGTTCCCAGAACCTTTTTACCGCATCCCAATTCTCTGGCGTATCATCCACTGAACCCCTGCCTTCCCAATTTGGCGCGTATTTATGCTAATGCGTCCCGCTTTGTTTCCTGAAAATCCTCCCATTTTGATGCTACTTCAGCTGGTGTGGTTCCCTTTTTCTTTGCCCATCTGTGTTCTCTTGCTGCCACTTTTTGGCGTCTCGGACAGTTGCGTTTGATTGCGTTTGAATGCGTTGCGGCTGCGAGAAACCAGGACATCCCTGCTGCTTATATCGTGTGCCAAGATGATTCCTTGAACTGGGTTCCACGCTTCATACGAAGCACGCATGCGCCGGTGACTCGTTTTCGGTTCTCGACGCAATGCAGTCAAACGCACTCAAACGCAAGTGTCTGAACCGGCCTTTTTTAAACTCGTTATCTCACCAGCCTTTTAGCTTGCGTTTTAGTTTTCTTCCTCGTTGTTTGATTCGATATTTCTCTAACTCTCTTTTGAAAACACTATATCTGTCCCTACTCTTTCCGGCTGTTTGAATACTCTGTTCTCGATCCGCTTAGATACCTCCTGTAATTGTTTATCATTTAAGTTATTTAATCTACCCTCTGGTTTTTGATTGTGCAGTTCTGATTTTACTGTGTCAAATTTGGTCTTGATTCTCTTGTGGTCGCTCCCCAGACTTTTTTTGCCCTCCTCATCTATTTCCATACCTCCTAATCTGTTGTATAGCTCCCCAACGTTGCTAGATTTCCTCCCAAAAAGGCTCCGCATGCATCCACCAGGTGCACATTAAAAGATCGCTTAATTAGCTTTAAATTTAGTTTTCTTGTGCCTTTCAACGAAAGACTGGTATTTTTGAGGCTATGCTGCAACATGCAACACATTAAAGATTAAAAAAAAAAAATAAGCGCTGTAATTTCGTTTTTGTACTCCCCTGATGCAAAAGCCTTATCCGCGGAGTCCCATGGAGCGCAGCCGGCGTTGTCTGTAACCGCGAAAAACGGCACCTATATTTCGGCTGAGCGAAACGAGCAATAAATTCCCAATGGCTGCGGCGCGTCATAGTTCCAAGGAGCGCCACCCCACAGAGAAGGCCTGTTCCTGGCGCTGCGGCCCGCGTGCCGGCAAAAGCGAGAGGGTGGCGTGCGGGCGGCCGCAGCGCGTTGCCTAACCGGCCCCTGCGGAGAACAGCGGGGCGCGCTACTTCTACAAAATGAAAAAGAGTCTCTGACTAAACGAACAAAAAAATATATAAACAAAATAAAATACGTTTGCAAATTTGTTGTGCGAAATAAGAGCGCAGCTGTTGGCGAGGAAGAAGGGAGGGTACGGAGGGGAAGATGTGCCCGACACCCCCCAGAAGAGAAGGGCGTAGCGCTCTTCTCGTGACGTCGCGAAGGAAGGCCATCGGGGGCGCGCGGCGAAGCGAAGGCCACGCGCGTGGATCCACCGTCGTAACGCGCTTTTAGCCCCTGTGAGGCAGACCAAGTTCTAGGCTGTATAAACACACACACAACCCAATTTTTTTAGTCACATGCACCAGTCTTATTAGCTAAAATGAAAGCTGCACATAGCAACGGGTCTAGAAAATATTTTGTTACACGCGCAAAATATTACGCCGCTAAATAATCGTTATGAAATGGTACGAGGTAGGCGTATAAGAGAAAGCATTGAGTCACGCAATTATTGCTGCAGGAATGCATATTTTACACAGAAATACTTCGACAAAATGGCGAGACACGCAGTGATTGGACACAGCGAAACAGATCACGGTTAAAAATCAGGTGGACATAGTCAACGCGGACACGGCTAGACAAGTGTCACTTACGATCATGTAAGCGATGTTATCGCGTGCAGTCACTGAATTCTTGCATTATACCCCGGCCACATGGCAAAATTAATGTAATTTCGATCGAATGACATTATAGGGTCGACAAATCAGCTTTTGATTAAGTAGCGGGGAACCGAATTGGTGTTGAGGTCACGTGACGCCAATTTTCCCGTTAAATTTAGCGCGGTCACGCCGACGCCACGAAACACGGAAACGGGCGCCTAACATCTGCGCTCCAAAAATAGCGTAATTGCTGTATCAGCGCGAGAAGAAGGTTCGCACAGTGGGAGGTCAACTAGGGCTAGCCTTTTATTATGGCGCCTCCGTGATCTGCCCGGGCACGAGCTTGCCCGGCACGAGCTTGGTTCACTGGCGGAGCACGCTCCCGTTACACCTTCCTTTTTCTTTCTTTTTTTTTTTTTTAACACACACGAGCGAAGTCGAAGTAACCAACGAACAAACAAAATTAACAAACTGCACCCACTAGGAGAGAAAGAAGAAGCCACCGATGTGATCGGACGTGTTTTCTCAAGCTCTCGACTTTTTCGAAAATGCTCGGCGCTAAGCCCAGCCCCGAGCTGCCAAGTTCGGGCCCCCCTTTTGGATCTTCGGGGGATTGTCCCTCGGTAAAACCGGAAGATGCGGCCAGGACTTCGAGCAACGCATCGACCAGCCACGGTCAACCAGAGGCCATGGACACGAGGAATGCGAGTAACGCCGGTCCCGCCACTACCACGACGGGAGCAGGACCTGCTCCAGCCTCGATACTAAACAAATCGACGATGGGGTGCTCAACAGTCTTCCAATTTGGTGAGCCCTCCACAGTCCCAAGCACAGCCCAATCTGTCGAGCTAGTCTTAAGGGCTCTCCTTTCGAGCATATCGAAAGAGAGCCTTATCGATATTTTCAAAAGTGTCATTGGAGAATCTCACGAAATCGTGCCAACTACCAAGGGGAAGAAGAAGAACAAGTCTGCGACTTCTAAGAAAGCCTTGAAAAGCAGCACAACAACAATTCTGTCAGCGCCAGCCGGCGCTGCACCTATATCTGGCAGGAAGCCACAACCAGCAGGGAGCCAGGGCGACAGCTCAGTGCCTGCTAAGACACTACCGGCACCAAAGCCTGCGGCCGCCGCGCCACCTACTACAGAACAAACGGAAGAAGAGGACGGCTTCACCACCGTCACGAGCAGGAAGAAAAGGAAACGGGCTCGCGAGGACCTTACACAACAAAATAATGAGAAGGCCAAGCCCTCCCGGCGTTGGCAATTCGAGTACAAGATCCGCCTAACACGATCCCAAGTCTCGATAAGGCCACTACTACCAAGACTGAAAACGCACCTCTCGAGCGTTTCAACAGCATTCACAATGCATCTACTAGACAAGGCCAACCCTATTTCAGTCCGCACGGTCTCGAAACAGCTGGCCGAAACCCTCGAGAAGATAACCGAGGTCGACATTGGCGGACAAGCAGTTTCTGTACAAGTCTTTAGAACGTACGGAACCGCCTATTGCAAAGGGGTCATCTACGACATTTACTCAACCCAAGACAACGTCTTGAACCTTGAATTGGAATCTGAGAAGATCCAGGTGGTCGCTGCTCGTAGACTGGGAAAGTCTAACACGGCAATGCTCACATTTGATGGAGAAAAGACGCCGAGGTCCGTTTTGTACGGCAATAGATATATGCGGGTCTTCCCGTTCAAGCCGAAAGCGGTGACGTGCGGTAACTGCCACCGATTGGGACACAAACCGGACATCTGCCCAAATGCTGCCGTGTGCCCCATCTGCGGAACTCAACATTTAGCCTCTACGGATCCTGCCCAGGGACCCGGATGCCCCGACTCCACACCCTACTGCCAAGGGTGCAGAAAGAAGGGCCACCTGGGAACGGACCGCAAATGCCCCACATGGCAAGAGACCAACAAGCGAATGCGGGAAGACGTAAAAAAATTCCGAGAACAACATAAGCAACAACAACAGCAGCAGCAGGAGCAGACTGCAACCGGGGCTGTCAAGACCCCGGTCCCTCCCAGCGGCACTTCGTGGGCTGACAGAGTCAAACATGGCATCGTCACTCCACCACCATCACCGTCGTCACAGGCGGAGATCCAAGAACTACGCAACACCTGCAACTACTTTAAAGCCGAGCTAGACAGGCTCAAGGCCATTGTCCAAGCCCAGCAAGAAGAGAACAACCACCACAAGTCCACCCTCAGTCAGATGAGGGCACTTACAGCGAATATTTTTTAACGCTAATGATAAGGGTGCTCCAATGGAACTGCCAGGCGCTCCGCAAGCGGGCGGCCGAGCTCCGAGTACGTCTGTTGGACAAGCCTGACGAGCGTCCTGATGTATTACTGCTTCAGGAGACTAATACTACAAGCATCAACTTCAATGGTTACACTACCTACTCAAGCCCGTCCATAACTAGTAAACGGCCGGGGCAATCTGCCTCCCCGCCAGGGAAAGCGCTCGTCTATGTAAGGTGCGACTGGCCCCAGCACCAAGTAGATCTAACCCCCTATTGTAATGAAAATCAAGAAATCGTTGCAGTGAGAGCCACGGTCCGGCAGCAAAACATCGTATTTACATCCGCATACTACAGGCCTCTTAAAAGCAAGACACCAAAAAGAAACCACGGTTGGATCGCTCATCTGCACAATCTGTACCCAAAAGAACAAAAGCTCTATTGTGGAGACTTCAACCTCCAACATCATGCTTGGGGATACAACCACGTATCGACAGGAGCGGAAGAGCTGCTTGGTGAGATGCAGACCTTCAGACTCATCCTAGTCAATAACCACGGGACCAAGACAAGGCTGGGAGACGCCAGGCAGAAGGACACAACCCCAGACCTCACATGGACCTCAAACATCTACACATATCACCACAAGTGGAAGTGCCTTCTGGACTCTTGGGGCAGCGACCACTTCCCAATCTTCTTTGAATTCTCGCCTACAAAGAAGATCAAAGACAAATCCAAGCGGATAGTGGCTAAAACCATTCACTGGGACAAGTTCAGGGCAACGCTGGAAGAAGGTAACCTTGAAGGGTCCAGTTTCGAGAGCCTCCTAAACAGCGCCCTGCAAGGAGCTACGATTACTACGAACGTCGGTGAAGACGCTCCAAATCCCGACCTCCACCTATTACGGCTCTGGGCTAAACGGCTGCAAGTGGTACAAAAGTACCGAAAGGGTCGCAAAACTACGCAAGGCAGACACGCCATAACAAGAGCTACGGTAGAGGCCAAGGAATACGCCCAACAATTAGATACACGCCGATGGCTAGACTACAGCTCTTCGCTCTCCGACAAAACCTCGATTACAAAGCTATGGGCTACAAATAGGGCTCTGCTTGGAAAGAAGAAGGTAAAAGGAGCGACGCTCACGCTCGCTCTCAAGATGAATAAGACGGAAGAACAGCTCGCAGGAATGGCGGGGGATCTCTTTTTCCCACAGCCAGACGTGAACGACTGCCCCTCTCTGTACGACGTAGAAATCTTGGCCCCGGACGACGGCATGGACCGACCGTTTACGAGGGGAGAACTCGAGTGGGCGCTACACAAAGGAAAATCCCGATCGTCGCCCGGGCCGGATAAAATCACCATGACCATGCTTAAGAACCTTCCAGAAAACACAAAAGAACAGCTCCTCGAATGGGTGAACCACATCTGGGTCACCGGAAAGCTCCCTGAGCAGTGGAAGTATTCACTTGTCGTTCCCATTCCAAAACCCGGAAAAGACAAGGGATCACTCAGTAACTACAGACCCATCTCGCTAACTTCATGTACCTGTAAGGTCATGGAGCGGATGGTATTAGCACGAATTGACTGGCACCTAGAATCCTCTGGCACCTTCCATCCCTCCCAGACTGGTTTCCGATCCTGCCTCGGAACACAGGAAAGCCTCGCCCTCATCTCGGCAGAAGTCATAAGAAATATTGGACTCAACCGCGCGGCGATAAGAACAGTCGTGGCGGTTGACATAAAAAAAGCGTTCGACTCTGTACCCCACACCTCCATCATCAGCGAAGCCAGACAATTTGGCATAGTTGGAAGGCCGCTGAACTTCATCAAGAGCTTTCTAGAAGGAAGGACGTTTTCGGTCCGCTGCGGCACGCACGACAGTGAACCGAAGATGAACCGAGTTGGGGTCCCTCAGGGTTCCATCCTCTCACCAACACTATTTAACCTCGCAATGGCAGCCCTGCCGCATGAGCTCGCCAAAATACCTGGACTCGGTTTTACCGTGTATGCGGATGACATCACAATGTGGACGAAAGGAGAAGACATTGCAAAGCAGCAAGACACACTTCAAGCAGGCCTCGACACAGTCGACGCTCACCTAGCCAGGGTAGGAATGCAAGCCTCTGCAGAAAAGACCCACTACACCGTGGTGGCACCAAGAAAACACAGAAATGCCAAGATTGCAAAACGATTTAATCTCGTACTCGCGGGTAAAAGAATCAAACCCTCCCCTTCAGTCAGGATCCTAGGGATTACGATCGAAGAAACGGGCAAGGGAGACATCTGGTTACAAGAAGTACTGCAACTCCGCGCTCAACGCAATCAGGCGTATATGCAGCGCAAGAGGAGGCGCGACTGAAAACGTAGCCAAACGGATGGTCAAAGCCCTCGTAGTCTCGCGCGTAGTCTACGGAGCCCGCCACTACTGGCTCAACAAGGGACAGTGGCAGAAACTAGAAACCTTAAACAATCAAGCAATGCGTGTAATTACCGGCCTTCCTAAGTTTACCCCCCTCGGCAAACTGCGGGAACAAGCCGGTATCAACAAACTCCATGACATAGTGACGGCCCGCACGGTTGCCCACAGTGAGCGCCTCAAGCTTACTGGACCAGGCAGAGAGATTATGAAGCTTCTCCACAGACCCACGGAGAACCTTCCAGAACTACCCGAGCAACTTCCACCATGGGAAGACCTCGCGGAGATCACCGACAACAAGCCTTGTGCACGCAAGGGGGACACCAAGCAGCTAACACGTAAAGCCAAGGCGCACACTAAGATGGTAGAAGCATGGGATCCGAGTTGCATCATGGCTGCCTACACGGATACCGCATCGCTAGACGGCCCCGTCACCCTGAAGACGGCAGCTGCAGCCATTCCTGCCCTACAAATCAGCGCTACCAAGCAGCTTCCCGAAGGCGCCTCGACCAAAGGAGGAGAACTCACAGCAATCCGCCTCGCCCTCGAGACGGTCCTCGCACTCCCCGACCCGCTAACAACGAATGTCCGGATATTTACAGATTCGCAAGAGGCGGTGGAGGAATGTAGAATAAGGAACAGTCCAAGCCGGATAGTCCGCTCGATAAAAAAACTTGCTTCTCAACTAGCTTCAAGAGGCACCTCCACAAGAATTGCATGGGTTCCCGGTCACGCGGGCATACCCGGCAACGAACAGGTACATCGCCTGACCCGCGCGTCGCTTATTCTTCCCCGCGGTTCAGACGACATACCTGCATCACAACATGACCACGGGTACGGCCACGCTCGCGATCGGGCACAGGCCAACTGGGAACCACAAGAATATGATCCAGGCGAGGTTCGGGCCAAGATCAGAGAAGACTATCTAGCAAAACTCGAAGAGAAGCTCCCCGAAAACCCAGATCCGCTCCCTTGCACGGGTTTTGGAAGACGGGCGAGAGTT